AATCTTATAGAGCCTGTGGATATCTTCCAATACAGCACAAGACTTTGTGAAGAGAGAAACTAACAATTGATGAAGTGAGGGAAAGAGGTAGACAGAAGAACTTCTAAGAAAAGAGCACACTGTGTTAGAAGGGAGTAGAAAAGCCTATTCAATGATTTCTAATTGCTTTGTTATCATTTTCATTTTTCTTATATTTATGACAAAATACTCTTCCAAATTCTACTCAATCACAAGCCTATCACAAGGGCAAATTGCCTTTGGTAAATACTTACTTGGGATCTTAAGCTCTTTGGAATAATGTTGTTTGAAGTTACTAAGTGAGTCAAAAAGCAAAAAGACAAAGTCTCAGGGGTCAAAGAATTAGCTTGATGCAAATTGATCTTGAGAGAACGGATAAAATATACATGTTTATGGATATTATACATTGAAATATATTTTATAATATATGCATATTGAGTTATGTTATAAAATATAATGCATTTTTAATACATAGAAATTTTTGTTGTATCTGGCACTTAGTCACATTGCTTTTAATTCTTTCTTGGCATTTTTGAAAGATAATATATGGGCAAAATTATTAAATTTATTTCCTTGAATGGTTAGCTTATACACCGAATACACTTCTACATGTATTCCTAAACAAAAATGATTCACAAGGAAAAAAATTTATTATGTTAACTTTTATCACAAATTTTATTTTACTTTTGTATTTAGGTTGGATTTCAATATCTAATTCTGGTGTGTTGGTGGCAAAAAGAAGGAAAAACTATTTAAGATTCCATCCTATTTATGGAGAAAGATAGAAGAAAAACATTTTAGGACTTAAGTCATTTTATGTCTTTGTCAAACACATACTAGAATGTAAAAATAGCTCAAAGACATTGACATTCCACTTGAAAAATGAAATGCTTAGCTTGTATTTTTTTCTTTTACCCAAACAAATACAAAGGCAGAAACAGCACAACGTATCTGGGCGTCCTTGTGCTTTATGATGCTATCGCCCCTGAACACCTTTTTATTCTTTTATTATATAACTAGAAAGTTGTTGAATGTCTATTTTCTAAATGCCTGTTTTCCAAAAATTAGGTATTTCATATTCTGTGGTTAATTTACCTATTATTACTATTAAGATGATAATGTCATTTTTGCAAAAAAATAATTAAAATACATGCACTTTCAATTGGACTTGTAGCCCTTAACAATGAAATATAGTCATACAAAAGTTAACTATAGTATAAACATCCAAAAGAAGAAGTCTCACTGTGATCATAAAATGATGTTATTTTCTGTTCAGCAGTTCATGTTACTGCTGTTCATGCTAATTAATTAAAGGAGCTGTTGCAGTAATGTTCAAACAGGGAATCTGAGAAACTGAGAGGGCTTTTAGGTCTCCAACTGAAGTTAAGTCAATCTGGGCATAGGCAATCAAATGAAATGAAGTAACTTGTCAGTGCTAAGCTTGCAAAAACTGTGAAGTTTGACTAGGTAGTAAAAGGATTATAATTAGATTTCCAATAGGATAATAACTAAATGGCAGAACGCAGTAAAAAGAAAATATTACTTTGTTAGCTAATGGTACTGCTGTTTGGTTTTAGTTTTTATCCACTCACTTGTAGTTGTGCTAATTTAATTTGGTTTTATCAGCAAAATGCACTACACAAATGGTACTTGAATGTCATTTGCAAAAATCATTGATCTGAAGGTGCACTTAATGACACCTGGTATGTTTATTTCATGTGAAGCAAAGATTGGTTGATAAGATGGTTGATGTGCTGTCTTGTAGTTCCCCAGCTGAGTTATTGAAACCTGAACAGAGTCATATTAGTGTATATACTTCACTGAAAACTTCACCTCCAGAGATTTCAGACACTGTCATCATACTGAGTACGTATTCACTGCTATAGTGCCTGAAAACGTTCTGGAGAACGGTAAAGAGCTAACAAGTAAGTTGTACAGATATTCTTTCACTGGAAAATGGATGTATGATTTTTTTGTCTTCAAAGAAATAAGTATAAGAAAATGAAATAAAGAAGCTGATAAAGTTGATAATACATATGAGAATCATAGTTCATGAGTATTTTGCACTAAAATCTATGTGGACATTATAATAAAATTTGACATGACTTTATTGCTTCTAAGGGCGGCCAGACAACATTTTTCCAATTCAAGAGATTTTACAGTGGAACTAATTGAATTTCAAAGGGAAAGCAATAGCTTTAATGATAGATGTCTATCCAGCAGAGCTATCGACAATAGAAAGAGAAAGGGTTTCAGTGTTGTCTGAACTGTTTGCTGTGATGGCAATGAGTTTTGGAAATGGCATTGTATTGACAGACATGAATTGAGTCTCACAAACAGGAAATAATATTCTAATTAAAAATGGATAATTTGGGGAGGTAAAGTACATGAAAGCAATATTAAAATATGGTTTAAAACAACACTAAAACAAAAAGATATTAAAGTTCAGATGGAAAAATATAATACACCAAGGCAAAATTCTTAGAAAAATTAGGAAGATGAATGCATTTTATGTTTTCCTAGTATGATATATTTTGTAAAGTTTGTCAATAAATATGTAAGCAATCTCTCAACTTGGACTGACAATTTTGGGATTTTAATGCAATTATTTGACCTATTTGAAGATAACCGTCTAATCCCCTGGTTAAATAAAAAAATAACATTTTGCTCAAATTAACTGAATTTTGATATAATATGATTGTACAATCATTTTAACATGAGATATTTATGCAAGTTCCCAATGACATTGAGAACCTTATTACTTGTAGTGTTTAAATGTTGTACTAATTAATGACATAATTCCATTATTATCATAAATAATTATATTGTATTCTAAAGGGCAAATGTTCCAAAAGAAAGTATTAATAAATCATATATATATTTATGTAAATATATGTATGTGTGTGCGCGCACATTGGCAGTACTAAGATTTGAAACTCAATGATTTTTCTATTTGTTGGCAAGCACTTGAGCCAAGCCTCCAGTCCCATCATATTTTCTATGAGCACAAATGCCACAAATGCCACAAATGCCAAATAATTTGATTTGTATTTAAAAAAAGAAGTCAATTTCTTTGTTTTAATATAAGCTCCAGCCCAAACCATCTAAAATTCTATTGCTTTCTGGTTTGTTAAGATAGACAACAGCCATAGAAGTTATTAAAAGCAAATAATCGGCATGTCTTTCCTTATGCACAAATGAATATACATAAGCCATTCTTTACAAGTAATATAAAAATAAAATTTTGGAGAATAATAACTTCTGCATATATGACCAAAATAGCAAGAAATGAAATAAATTTGGGACAATTTGAATGCTTCCATTTATCTCAAAGTTTGGCAAAACAATACTAATATGATCTGTAGGCATTATATGTGGAAGAAATAGTAAAGAACTGGATGGAAGCACAGGGTTAAAGGATAATGACACTTTTTCATAGTGTGCGTGGTTTACTCCCTCTGATTCTAATATTAACCTTATATCCTACTCAAATTAGAGGCATAATCAAGATCAATATTCCTTGATGACAGTGTCTGAATTTCTGTGTCACTGATTCAGAAAAGATGAATACAATGTTTCCGGCTAATATATCCCCTACTACATTGCTGGTATCTGAAGGCAACCTCCAATTCCAGGTCCACAACTGGTGAGATTTTCTTCATGAACTTAGTTGCAGCAATTGATTGGTCAAACAACAAATCCCATTCAAATTTGTTTTACTAACATCCTAGACACAGTCTTTAAATTGAGGTTAGAAAGCAGGCAAGCAGAAAATGGATAAGAAACAGTAAATCTTCATTGGCCCACTTAAGTGTGCAGACTTTCACATCTAACAAAGTTAATGCATTAGGTATATACAGGTGCAGCAAAATAATCCATTTCCAGAAGTGGAATAAGCTCTGATATGCCCAAATGTATAAAGATGATTTTCTAAACACTACATAAGTGAAGGTTTCTAAATTTCATGAAACTGCCACATAATATGTTGAATCTTTAGACAAATACATATGGATCTTTTGGATCACATCTGTTGCCTTCATATAGGTACAGACAAACAGCACAAAGAATCAGTTTGTTAAATCTTCCACAAAGAACATATTCATGGACATGTTTGCTTTTTAAAATTAGGAAATAAGTATCTCAGAGAAAGGTCTATTTTTAAGTAAGGATTTTGTTTCATAATAAGTGTGAACGATAAATGCGAACTACATAAATGTAAAGGGCTAGAAAATTGCATTAGTATTACATTGGTTAATTTCTAACAGTCATATGAAATTCCTATTTTTAACTGTTTTCCATTCATGAGATTATATTCATGTATTTCATATGATTTCTTTTTTTAAATTTTATTTTATTGTAAAGATTCTGTACAGAGGGGTTACAGTTACACGAATAAGATAATGAGTACATTTCTTGTCAAACATTTTAACCTCCTCCTTCTCATATGTTTTCTTACTACCAAATATATAAAATTTTTCCAATGATCTAAGTATTAATGGAAGTAATGAATTATGAATCAGACTCTTCATATTTAGGTAGTTTCTTAAATTAGTGTAAAGATTTATGAGTTAAAAATTATGTCTAGAATATCTGTAATATATCAGTAAGTTACAATTATTATATTTATGGCCTTTGCAAATAGCAATTAGTAATGCTTAAAAAACTTAAAAGTAAATTACTATCATAGTTATACACTTTTAGAATACTTCTAACATATAAATGCATAACCTTTTCACAACTAAACATATAAGAAATCTGCTCATATTGAAATTTGCACTCTAAATGCAATTGTGTTGTTATTCTGTTTTGAAGTCACGTGAAGTGTATTTTTCTAAAAAATATCAGTGCACGTTGCTTCTTATGTCATATTATAACAACAGTTAAACTTATTCAGCCTCTTTGAATAGTAACATAGGATTTCATTCCCACCTCCTCCAGGGGTTATGTATTAGCAGATTAACGAAGTATGCTTTTTACCATACCTTGCATAGCAGCACTATCATGAGGAGTCCCATTGCTTTCTATTTCAATATCTGGAATTCCAGTATCTGAAAGAATTGGCAATCAATATTTAGATGCAACTCTATATTTTATAATTCACATTAAAAGTAGTAGTTTTGGCTCACACGTGTAATCCTAGCTATTCAGAATACTGAGATCTGAAGATCACAGTCTAAGGCCAGCCCAGAAAGTCTGGGACTTTTCTTCAATTAACCACCAAATATAACCAGAAGTGGAGCTGTGCTCAAGTGGTAGAGCACTAACCTTGAGCAAAAAAGCTAAGGGACAGCACCCAGGTTCTGAGTTCAAATCCAAGACTGGCATATATACACACATAAAAGTGAGTAGTTTGGTCCTATGGATAATGCCAGGCCCTAGGTAATGTGTGTGTGTGCGTGTGTGTGTGTGTGTGTGTGTGTGTGTGTGTGTGTGTGTGTGTGTGTGTGTGTTTAATAGTAGGAAAAATGAAAAATAATGATAAACTGTAGCTGAATTATACAATTGAAATATGTACTTCCAGGGACATAGTAAATACTGATTTATCCCATTTCTTTATGGTGAATTTTAGGATTTTAATCCATCTATAAATACACGCTAAAACCATCAGACTGTCCTGACTGTAGAATGAAAAAAATGATGAATATGATTGCAGAAATGGAAGTGAATTTATAAGTTGTGATGGATGATGGTATTATCTTTATGCTAAGTGCAAGTGTTAACCAAAAATTATGGTTTGTGGTCTTTAAGTAGTCCCAGCTTTAGGAGCAAATGCATTACTATTGTGCTCTTTAGATAAGCTACAAAAGCTAGGAATCATCATCTGAATAGATTCTGAGTGTATATACTTATTGGAAAGTATGTGAATTTACTTGCACATTTAATTCACATTGGGTCAGAATGAGGTAAAATATTGCTACCTGTTTTCCAGTTCAAAGCCCATGGAAATTCCCAATTAACCACCAAAAGGTCAGAATGTACCTTTGGCTCAAGTGGTTGAGTGCTAGTCTTGAGCACATAAGCTCATGGTCTGTACCCTGAGTTCAAGCACCAGGACTGGCACACAAAAGCAATTCTTAGCAAACTTTACCAATCACATTCTCTTATTACATTAACATTGATGGAGTCAGAATAAAAGTAACCAGCATCTTAGTGTTGATGAAAATCAACTCCAGCACATATCAACATTAGTTAACATGGATAGATCTAAAACACTTACATTAGTCTAACTACTTATACTAAGTCTGAAAATTTTTCTATTACTTCTAGGTTTTTTGTACCAACCGTAATTGAGATTATTTGGGTTTGCTTAACTTTAAATTGACTTTTAATTATTTCTGGACAAAGTGTTCATCTCACCCCCTTTCTCTTTTATTTTCATTTTCCATATTTCCTTCCTTCCTTCCTTCCTTCCTTCCTTCCTTCCTTCCTTCCTTCCTTCCTTCCTTCCTTCCTTCCTTCTTTCCTTCCTTCCTTCCTTCCTTCCTTCCTTCCTTCCTTCCTTCCTTCCTTCCTTTCTCTTTCCTTCCTTCTCCCTCTCTCCCTTCTTTCCTTCCTTCTTTTCCTTCCTCCCTCCCTTCCTTTTTCCTTTATTATTCACCTTTAAATCAGATTTCTCTTTGTTTACATAGAAAATGAAAAGTCACTACCTTTCAACATCCTCAGGCCACTGTCATTATTAGTAGTTTGCTTAAGTGCCTGCTCCACTTGCTCCCGACGCTTTGATTCAAATTCCAAGGCTTCCTGCAGTTTTCTCTTGGCTTTTTTCTCCTTCTTCAGGCGCTTTTGCATGGTAGCTGAAATGTGGAGAAGTAATTTACAAATTCCTCATCAATATAACAGTGCTGCAGGTTTTGATGAATTATAAACCACTGATACAGGTGTAGAAAGAGAGAGATAGAAATGTACCTGTTGACATAAAAACAGATATTTTTGGTCCCAATTCTCATTTGGTTCATCCATGGGAATTTTGTTCACTGCATCAATTGCATAACCAAAAACCTCAGTTTAAGTGCAAAATGTATATGTTCTGTAGTATGCATGCACTTGTATGGTGATGGCTTGCAGAAGTATTTTCTACTTTGATACATTGCATGCATTTAATGACAGTATTAAATATTTTATATTTCTCTTAAATTATTCTTATTCATTAAGTAATTGCTCTTCATGTTTTAAAATAAAAACCTTGAAAATATATTAGGTTACATAACATGGTTATTAAAACAAAAGTGGATGGTGTCTATTTCTCTCAAATACCAGCAGTTTTAAAGGCAAAGATTAATGCACCTATCAGTTTCTTCTTTCTCTCCCTTGTATACACACACTCCACACACACATGTACAGAATATTTTTCAGCAATGATTATATGACGTTATTAGAATGTCACTACAGCAATGTCTTTGACAATCGAGAAAAGTCAAAAAACAACAGCAAAGCCAAAGAACAGCTTCTATGCCTCAATTCTAAAGGTTTTATGTTTCCATTATAAACTTTAAATTGTGCTCATGCAAGATTATTTCTAAACTCTAAACCTTAAATCTATGACATTTCCGCAAATAAGGTTATTGAACTCCATAAATATACTAGTTTATAGCAGTTCTAAGTGGATATGGTATTTTCTGAATAAGTTTTAATTAAAAAATAAGATTCTGAAGTTTTGGCAATAAAATAAATTATGTAACATATGAAAGAAATTTGGTAGTACTGGTTTTGAACTGAATTCTAAGTTTGCTGGGCAAGAGCTCCACTGTTGAGTTACTACTTTAAGTCCTAGATTTTGAAATGTTAAAAGCATTCATATATATTTAACATATTTTAACTTAACTGATTTGTAGGCTAATTTAAATTTCAGTTCTATTCATCTCACAGTCACTGTTTTTTGTTTTTTGGTTTTTTTTCTTTTTTGGGTCCAGTCGTGGGACCTGAACTCTGGGTCTGGGAGCTCTCCCTCAGCTCTTCAGCTCAAGGCTAGTGCTCTACCACTTGAGCTACAGTGCCAATTCCAGCTTTTTTCTTTTTGCTTATGTGGTGCTGAGGAATCGAACCCAGGGCCTCATGCATGCAAGGCAAGTGCTCTACCACTGAGCCACCTTCCCAGCCCAACATCGTCTTTTTCTTTAACTAAACTTGAGCAACTTGAAAACAGTAAGTTATAAATACATTGCCATAAACTTCAAACAAAAATTCCTGTCTCACATAGTAACAAAATTGAATGTAGAAAGAAAATATGGTTCCTATAATCATATTAATATCATTCAAATAACATCAATTTAAGCAGATATCTAGATTTATTAGAATAATCTCAATGTTATTACTCTTTTCCTATTTTATTTGGATATTTTAGGCATATAAAGGTGTTTCATTGTGATGTGTGCACCCATGTATACATTACAACTTGGTAAAACATATTTCCATTGTTTAAACGAGATATCTGAATTTATTGACATTAACGAAAAATGCAACATTTTTCATTATAAGCAATTTTTCTATCTAGTAGAATCAATGATGCAAAATGCTCTACACATTGCATCTGCTGAAAATTACAATCTTGTACATTGTAAACATTATCAAAACCAGCTATATTTTAAAATGATAATAAAGGTAGTTTATTTAGACCCCAATATATGGAACATTTCACTTGAAATATGTGACATGTAAATGATATGATAATGCTACAAGAGAAGTAATATCATTTCCATGTCATAGAAGGAAATTCAATCTTTAAGATTTACCTAGTCCTTAAATTTACCTAAGATCACATAGCTAGAAGTTGGTAAAGGCTGAGGACTAAAGGTTTCATATGTGGTTATCTCCAAGCAAGAGGACCACAAAGTTGTTTAAACCAGCACACAACCAATAAGGTTTCCTGGAGCTCTGTATTTGTATGCTTTTCAATGTTTGTTCTGCCAAGGATATTATTCTATATGATATATGTGTTTCATTCAAGCAATACTCTGGCAAACAACAAAAAATTAGCAAAGTAGAATTTTTTTAATGTGTACCATGTTTTGTTCAATTAAATTAAAAGGTCAAGTATTCTTTCTATATACATATATATTGTATATGTTATTATGGAGTTTGAGTATGTAATGTTTTATATATTACTAATATATAATACATATGATAAATATGTACACAATGTTCTTTCCATTGTGGAAACATATAGTTTACAAATTAGTATTTTAGTACAGAACTTTTTTATTGTAAAGATGCTGTACAGAGGGTTTACAGTTACATGAGTAAGGTAATGAGAATATTTTTTTGTTGAGCATTGTTACCCATACCTTTTTTCTCCTATTATCCCTTCCCTCCCCCACCTTCACCACTCTTCCCCCCACCCTGCCCCCAAGGCTGTGAAGTTTATTTCCAACATAGAGTCTTATGAGTCTCATTGTTACAATGGGTCATCCTGTGTCCTTATTTCAGAATTTTGTTACTCACTTCTCCTCCCCAAATTAGATAAATGTATATACAAAATGCAGGGTACCAAAATCAAATGCAGTGACAACAGGGAGTTTTCTTTAGTTTCTTTTATATATTCTTCCCCCTATGGTACAAATTAATTTTTAGTGCATAATCCAGTATGTCTCCATTCTCTGCTCTGTCTCCATCTATACATCCACTATCCAGTATTCATCATTACAGTTTGCATTATTTCCTTGCTTCTCTTCTTACACTGTATCACCTGGAATCATTTACTTCATAAAACTCAAGGACTCTCTAATAACTGTATATAATCTCCAATATATGAAGTCGTTTCTCTTTGTGCCTATACTGATAACTCTGTCTAGAATACCTGTACATCTCTTATGTTCATATGTCCTTATTTAGTCTATTGATCTTTTAATATGCAATCATAATATTCAATGCATATCCCATGAAACTAGGGAAATTGAAGGCAACAGTTGGGTTGGGAGGGATGGGTGAGAATGATGATAACATTGACCAAGATGCATTGTACTCAAAATGACATGTTGAATGGTAACTCCTTTGTACAACTACTTAAGGATAATAAAAATATATTAAAAAAGATAAAAAGCATCAGGAAATATATCTTTACTATCTACATTCCCAGCAAGCTAACCAAGCCTCTCTATATATATATCCCTACAATGTGCACAATTACTTTTTACAAATTTATCTAACAAACAAACTGGTTCTGTCAACCTTCCACAATGTAATTCCCTCAAGGATTTACAGTGACTGAGTTTCACTCTATAATACAAGAATCTAGTACAGGGCCTAGGAGAAGAGTAATTCATGTATAAATATTAATACTCATAGACTATTCCAGATCCAGGTATATTTTGTAAAATTGAGAGAGAATGATGAATAACCATGTTTTCAAATCTGCAAGGGACCCAAAATACAGATCTAATTCTTTTAGCACAGAGACAGCATTCAATTATAACCTTGTGGGTTATACACAGGATTTGATTTGTAGATAGTCATTTCCTCTCAGTATTTCTAAGCTGCACCTGAGAATATTTCCATTACTATTTCAATACTAACAACATGACATGCATTAAACTTACTTCTGCTTTGAAGCTCCACTGCAAGCTGTCTTTCTAGGTTTTCTCTAATTTCTCTCTCTCTGTAGAGCTCCATTCGCAGCTCCTTCTTTTCTTGCTGAATCTGCTTCTCCTGGATGCGAGCATTATCCAAGGCCACTTTCAGCAGACCCTGTCAAAGTACAGCAAACAGCATGCAGTTCATCTTATCTGTTTTAACTTTGAAAATATGGAATAATTTATGTAGGTGCTAATGTCTTGTATTACATTTATTTTGTTTATAGAAATATTGTTGACCTGAATGTTGGTCAACAGAGTCTCCACAGAGGACAGACTATCAGCAAAAATGAATGGTCCAGGGAATCCAGGGGGCAAGGCCTGCCCAGGAGCCAGCTGGATCTTGTCCAAGGGCGACTTCATCATTGGAATTTGAACTGGTCCCTCTTCTGCAAGATAAAATTAATATCAAAAGAAGTTTTTATAAATTATTAGCTCAAACATTTCACCAGGTCACCTTTAAAAGGTATCTATATAAATTCTGTTCCTGAAACAAAATGATGCACATTCACAATATAGTATACCTATTTTTCATCTGCCTCTATTGTTCTTATATGATTCAGTCAAGAACTCAAGAATATAAAAGAACAAAGGTAATGGGTAGGAAGAAGTTTTGTGTATATATAATTGATAAAATTTAAGATATATACAAATGACATGTATTTTTATAAATATAATCACATTCCTTTTTTGGAAAACCAGAAGGATTTTTTTCCCTCTTTGTATTTACCTATCTACCCATCTATCTTCAATTATTTTAACAGCTGCATTGAGGAATAATTTATACACAAGACTTCACTTACATGAAATTGATCCTCTGTAGTAATTTTGCATTTTTATCTGACCATCACAACATTACAACATACCTATTGTTAAAACTTTGGGTCTCTGGTTTTCACCTTGGTATGCATTATTCTTCATTCTGTAATGCTTTGCCCTTTAGATATTGTATACAAGTGGAATTATAAAACATGTAGTATTTTGTGCCTGGCTTCTTTCACATGAATTTGTACATGCTCTGTCATGCATCAGGAATTTCTTCTATTTTCATTGCTAAATAGTATTTTATCCCATGAACACACCACCTTTTGTTCAAATACTATTTGGTAGGAATTAGGATGTTTCCCAAAATATATGCAAAGTACGAAAAAATAGGCTTATTTCTAGTTAGAAATTTCAGTGCCTCACAATATTTGAAATTTTTATTACCTTTAAGTAGTTGTACAAAAGAGTTACAAAGCATTTATGAATTTAACAAAGCATTTTATGAATACAATGCATCTTGATCAAAGTCCCTTCTTTCAACATTCTCAACCATTCCTTCCTACCTACCCCTTCCCTCATTCTTCTTATATTTGTAGGATATACATTGGATTTTTGTCTGCATTTTCCCCTTTCTTATCTTCATTGGCCCACTTCTTTCCCCTTGACCCCACCCAAACCTTTTGAATGCTGTTTTCCTGGTTTTTTTTTTTTTATAAACACTTTGTTTATAATTCCCTACCTTTTATTTCTCTACTGAGTGGAGGAAACAGATTTGTACTACTAGACATCATCAAGAACCAGTCTGCAATGCTTGGTTTTAAACAATATATGAAAGAATACATGTAAAACTGCTTTGTAAGCAGAAATACCATAACAAGACCAGGAAACATAAAAGGCAGAAAATATGTTAGGGATTTTATAATTATTATTGTTCACTAATGTTTAATAGGAATATTCAATTCTTACTTGATTTAATTGGAAGTCAGATCAGCATGCATTGTACTTACAAACTGTCATTGAATTGAAAACCCTTTGTAGAGCTAGTTAAGAATATGTAAGATAAAATAAAAAATACAAAATAATTTTAAAATCTTGGTTTTGGTCTGGCTTCTGCAAGGATGCAAATATGGATTTACAATATAGTTAGAATACATTTTTTCAGTTGCAATCAGCCTTTATATGTGGTACAGTCTTGAACCCTATTGATTTTACAGTCACCATATTTTGCTGTGGGATTTCTCATGTGAGAAGTTGAGACATGCATTGTGGGAACCTTCATTTAGATTACTTGATGGAATAGAATTTTCTCTGAATAAAATGCATTTAATATACATCATTTTACTATTTCCTATTGTTTTCAAAACCAATAAAGATAAAAATGCTGATTAGAGAATCAACAGTTTTATATTATGTAAATCCCAATGTTAGAGTAATTTTCAGTCTTAAAGAATTTAATAAAATGGATAAATGATACCATTACATTTTTTATTGTAAAAATACCGTACATGGGCAAGGTAATGAGCACATTTTTTATCAAACATTGTTGCCTCCTCCTTTGTTTCCCCTTACCATCCATTCCCAACCTCACCCCCATTCTTTACTATAAGAACCTTTGATAATTTTCTTAGGAATTGTCTTTTAGAAAGTTTAAAAAAAGACTTTCTGGATCACTGATACATAAGCTTCCTGAAAGTTTCATTTACAAATTCTGTAGTTATATGAAGTTGGAATTTAAAGTTAGCTCTATATTCAGTGAATTCTTTTGATAATATGTTTTGTATTGTTTTAGATAACCGTGTTTGAACTCAGGGCCCTGGCATTTTGCAGGCAGGTACTCTATGTATGACTTGAGCCACAATCTCAGCATTTTTGTTTCTTTCCTTCCTTCCTTCCTTCCTTCCTTCCTTCCTTCCTTCCTTCCTTCCTTCCTTCCTTCCTTCCTTCCTTCCTTCCTTCCTTCCTCCCTCCCTCCCTCCCTCACTCCCTCCCTCCCTCCCTTCCTTCTTTCCTTCCTTCTTTCCCTCCTTCCTTCCTTCTTTCCTTCCTTCCTTTTTCTTCCCTTTTTAAAAAATAGGGTCTCTTATTCCTTATGTTAGGACTGACCCGAAATGCTACCTACTATTTATACTTTCCATAGCTGGAATGAAGCCATAACTTCTCTTTCTTCCATCCTCCTTCTTCCCTAATTACTTCCAATGTGACTGGTGGATTTGGAAGACGTAATGTATTATAGTTATAAATTATGTGACTATATTCACCTACATGGTTTCTTTGGTATATTTTCTCCTAATTTTTTAAACCTAAATCCTAAAACACATTTCTTAGCTAGCAGCTTTACTTTATGTGTGTGGAAGGGGGGGGGGACTTGAACATGGGGGCTGGGCACTGTCTTTGACCTTTGTTACTCAAGGCCAGCACACTTGATCCACAGCTCCATTTCTGTTTTGTTTTGGTTTGGTTTTGGTGCTTAGTTGGCTATAAGAGTCTCACAGACTTTCTTGAATGGACTGGCATCGAACCCTAATCCTCAGATCTCAGTATGACAAGTAGCTAGGATTATAGGAGTGAGTCACTACTGCCTGGCAGCACTACTGTTTTAAAAGTATAGTTCTCAACAACTAGCCAAACAATGTTATGCTTTAGTTGTTATTATTTGATATCTACATTAGGGTATGATTTTGTCTTCTCCATATGAGTGCATTAAGAATGAATCAAATGACTTTATGATGATTTATCAGCATTTATAATAACCAGAGCCTCTAGATCTTTGTATTACTGATTATACATCATATTGTAAGAGTTTATATAGGGGGCTGGGAAGGTGGCTCAGTGGTAGAGCGCTTGCCTTGCATGCTCAAGGCCCTGGGTTCGATTCCTCAGCACCACATAAGCAAAAAGAAAAAAAGCTGGAAGTGGCGCTGTGGCTCAAGTGGTAGAGCACTAGCCTTGAGCTGAAGAGCTGAGGGACAGTGCCCAGGCCCAGAGTTCAGGCCCCACGACCGGATCCAAAAAAAAAAAAAGAGTTTATATAGTATTCAAGATCTACTTTTACAAAATAAACTGTTACACAGTCAGAACATTGACTTCATGCTGTTTCAGGGATAGCATAATATTTTCTTTGAATGTATATTTTGTATCAGACACAGAGATCTTAAAATTAATGGATTTATTATTATACACACATACACAACAACAGTAGTTAGAATCTTAGAAGTCCTTTTCCATAAAGGAAAGAAATATATTCAGTATGCATAAAACAAAATTATAACTACGTTAAAATTGCTAGAAGTCTTCGATTTGATGATGAATGAAATGATGTTATATTGGCTGAAAGGAAAATTACTATTGACTATGAAGATGGGTTGCATGGTCTATGGATTGTAATGTTGCTGTACAGTAGATTGAAGTTTCAAAATAGTATTAGTCTTCTTTAAAGAGATAGACACAGCTGAATTAGGTGTCGCTTGCTGCAGTGAAGAACAAATGCAAAAAGAATCATATTTCATCAGACCTAGTCAACACCAGGAACATAAATAGAAATATAAGAGGTATGCAGGCAATGATTCATTTTGATAATCTGGCCCAAGAGAGACACATAGAGACAGCACACAGATCTAAGCTTCTACCAAAAGACAAATAGGACACAGAGGGTGGGAACCAGGATGACAGTGCAGCAGAGGTCACATCGATTTTCAGCAGCAGTTTTCACACAGATGAGATAACCCTGGACTCTATTTGGCCCATTGTTCATATCCTACCTGTCTCAAAAGCAATAAATTTCCTACTCCTAGAAAAAGGGCAGTAAAGAAGAAAGATTCTACTTATGACTTCTTATGATTAAGTTTCTGTGCTAACCAAACATGCTTTTCAGACCAAGGTCACATTGCATGTTAAGGTCTGTAATAGCCATAAGCTAGCAGAAGGATATTATGTTTCAGTGTACATGCATGGAACCTGAGGATATTCATCATGTTCCTTCCCCTTTGATTGAAATCCGCTACAAAAACGAATGATAAATCTACTAGAAATTGATTTCAATTTTCTAATGGGTCTTCCAATATCCAAATGGCATCTAAGTTTTGCTCAGAGTTCAATTAAGTCACTGTTGTGTAGAAGTTTATTATGCAAAGTTGAGAAATCCTAATTGGCAATGAAACTGAAAATAGGACAAAGAGCTGAAACATAGACTGTCAGTGAAATAAAAACATTCCTTTGTAACCACAAGAGAGTTTTGGTTTTTTTTTATTTTAAAAGTCTAGCATTCAAAATGTGTATATTAATACCCTTATCAGCACCTATATCGAAATGATATAAACCAAAGGCAGGGACACTGCCATCTATTCAAGAACACAAGCAACCTTTCCATTTATTGAAGCAAAGTGAAGATGGCTTTTATTGAGCCTGTTTGTTAAGCCTGCTGTACTTTCTAATAGCACTTGGGAATCCACTTAGAGAACAGGCTCTTTATTTTAATTTCTTGCTTAGGGCCCAGATGAATAGATTTAAAAGTTGACAAGAACATAATTTGTAGGGGAAAAAAGGATAAATATATGGTAAATACTCTGAATGGAAAAGTGCCCTTGAAAATTAAAGTGAAGGCTGCTAGAGACATTTTATATGACTC